ATCATCGGGTTCAAACACAAACTGTACAATCGTTCGTCCTTTTGAACAAGTCGATACACCGGATAGAGTATTGGGTTCAATTTGCCTAAATGCACACACACACACACACACACACACACACACACACACACACACACGATAAAATTGCTTCGATAGGAATAGCATGAACATTATGGGAGGACAGTGTTTCAGAGAAAAAACAAACATGGGTTTGGGATTTCAGATGTACAACAATAAATTGAATGATCACAAAATCATCCTAATGAATAAATAAATTTCCATGAACAGTCATTTTATTGTTGGACTATTGAACCAACAACTTCCCTAAACTTTTCAGTTGCGTCCTAAGAGCATACTCATGTTGGCTGTTGGATGAAATCACGTATGTTTACTCATACCACACACTTGATTAATGGACCTTATAGCTCAGGGGTTCAACGATTACCTACTGATTCCAAGATTTACTAGTTTACTTGTATTTTAATTAACATTCTGATACTGGTAGTTAATGAATAGGGAATCAGATCAGAAAGTTTTGCATATAGGATTTCGAATTCCATCCCCAGCTCGAGTTGGTTAGATCTTCCATCTGGACAACAAAAGTTTGTTCCCAGATAAATGTACAGGCAATTTTTCCCTACCTTGGTGATTTGTAGTGTTTTCCATGCACTGAATCATTTTGTTAACTAGAGGTCCCAGGTTAGCCGTTTCTTAATAAGATGGATCTTATAAAACGGAGCTCATCTTTCAACGTATCCTCACTGCAAATGTTCACTGTCGTATCCTCTAGGGAACGAACTAGATTCCTTTTGTCTTTAAGCGGTACAAAGCTTCGAAAATGAATGTGTTGGTCTTTCCTAGTGGCCTCTTTGCACCGAATGTTGTACTGAACCATCTGATCGACAAAGAGTGATGCAGACAACTAGAAACGTCACTTTTTTTGCTGCACCCCAATACCAAAGTAAACGTTATTTTTTTATTGCACAAGAAGTGATTAACAGCAAAATTTATAACAATAAGGAGAAGGTTTATGGGGAGGGGGTAGGCATTCGGGTGAGAATCAATTTGTTATTCCTACTTTTGAAAGGAGTAAGATTATAAGCGATTGGGAGTAGGGAGACGAGAAAAGTGCTTTACAATTTTGCAATCCCCGGATAAAATAAGACTGACAGATAAAAGTTTAACTTCTGCATAAAGAAACCTGATAAAGGTGACTGCTCACCTGAGAACGAGATGAACCAGAAAAGATCAAAGGAAAGGGAACCGCTGAAGCGGGTTCAGAAGAGCAGAAAACAAAACAGTAATGATAGAAAAGAGATAATGAAACAACTGTCCGGCGATGGGAAAGCGACTGCAGATTAGAGGGTAAAGACGGTTAGTGGATTAGCCGGATATCCTTACGTTGAACGTGAATGAGGAGAAAAAGGGAGGAATACGAAGCTCCATCCCATGCGTAAATGCAGTATCCGAGCTTCGGGCGAATTTGAGCTTTGTATAAAAGGTGTAACGCAGGGCATTGAATGGAGTAGAAAACCGACTTTGCGTGCAGCGTGAGCAGAGGGTGGAAATAAAGAAAACCAATAGAGAGGATAATTTATGGATAAAACCGGAAGAGAGAATTTGTGGAACGAGGAGGCAGCGGGTCAAAAATCGATTGAGGAGAATGAGGGATATGTTTAAGAGAGACAGAGAAGAGAGTTTTAGACGCACTGAAATACACATGGTTGGTAGAACCCTATGTAGAGACGAGTCCGAGATCAGAGGTAAGAGGTAAGAGCAACACTAATGACATTGTGACCGTGATCGTTATTAACAGTGGCCAGGCGGTTTGTGTAGTAAGAAATAGAATGATAGAGATGGGCATCATTACCAAAGCTATGNGGAACCTTGAGGAACACGGGTATTCATGGAGAATGGTCGAGATGGGATCAAATCAACTCGGACGGAGACGGTACACTTGCTGAGGAAACACTGCGATCTCAAAATGGGAGATGGGCGATATTGAACCTGATTACTAGTTCCACTGTGTTTGATATTGCGTTGATCGCACAAAAAATGTCGCCTAAATACCATATGCACAGTTTTTGATGAGTGATTGTAACTGAGTGTGTTCATGTTTCTGTTAGGTAAAAAGAATAGTTATACCTAAAACTGACCATTTTTCGAGTATCTTCAATTAGGAGCATCTCTTGTCAATACTAATCTCGCGGAGAATAATCAATGCTATCGCGTCATACGGAGACATTCACTCCGTCCGTCTGATCCGTGACTTATGATCGATTGAACTTTGCTAACTGTGTACTTGAATGGCACAATCTTTTTCTTGCATTAATCAATGCTATTTTGAATCACATCTAAGCATCAGAGTAAAACTTGTAAATTGACTTGCTTCCTGTGTGTCAAGTACACGTTCGCTGTGCACTAACTGTGTTCTTGCTTACGTAGCTGGGAGAAGGCTATTAGTGCTCGTGGCGTCTAATCTGTGCTGTGATCGTATTTGTGAGGCTAGACGATTAGTGTGGTCGTTGAGGTACGTGTTTTCCCTCGTGTGTCATCGTGTGATATCTTGTTGTGTGTACATTGTGATCAAACGAGATCCGGACACAACAGTTTCACCATGAATAATTCCATGAAAAGCTATCCCAGCGTAGACCTTATGAGCACACCATCCTTTTCTGAATAGAGTTCATTGTTAAAATGGATCGGAACACTACAGTGTGTGTGTGTGTGCAGAAATAAAGCAAGTCATCCAAAGGAAGGACTAGGTTTACATTATTAGTTTACATATAATTGCATCTGCGTCCCTCTTTATCTGCGGACATGAAAAAAAACTAAAATCAACCGTAGTGAATACTTCCTGCCAGCACCAGATTATCAAACTGAATACAAGTGAACTAGGGATTACAGAACACACCAAACGAATGCGAAAACTTAAGAAAAAATACCAATTTTATACTATCCAAATTGGATATGCTTATTGGGATCCTATGGTTATAGAAATAAGTATTTTACTTATGCGACAAAAATACTCCGGGAAATGATTGGTCCAAGTGTGAAACTGTTACCATCAATTAATCGCTACAAGTGTGTTGTCTGAATGGACAGATATGCTGACCTAATTAATTTCGAGTCCTTTCGGGTTGAGTTTACAGATCATACAATGCTACCGGAGTCGTATATGGTTCTATACAGTCCTGGAATTGTACGAAAACGAATGTAATGTTAGTGAAGACTGCTATCCTTCTCGTTGCGAATGTATGCTTGCTCAGAACGAACAATACACGTGATGGTTTTGTTCACTTACGTATAATAGTAAGCCTAAACCGGTGCTTTATAGTCGAATTCGCTGGATGAACACAGTAGAACCATTCGCTTGATCCATCTTCGGCTAGTTCAATCCATTCTTGAGGACTCTCGAAGAGAGAATTGCCGGAGATTTTGATTCGCACACGTGCGTCTAGCTCGTTTGAACAGACTGGAATTTCTCGATTCACAATCACGGTCGATGCGGACATATACACATACGGACCTCCTGAAATGTGTGATAAAATCGATCTATACCATTATTTTGTTCCGAAGATTAACGGTCGTATTACCTGAACTGAACTGAATCGAAAAATAGGATGTCTTGTACTGGCACGACTCCTACGATCATATGTACTCATAACGGTTGCCCTAAGCTTCCCTGATGGGGCCACCGGGATATTTGAAATTAACGGTTGGAGACACTGAGTGATATGTCTGAGTGTCACAAACATTGACACTCGATCATCTTCTCAATTTCCTTGCAACTTCATACTACCGGAACTCTCCAGTTCCACTTTGGCACTGCTTTTAGCCTATCAATATTTCTTCTATTCCTTCATCCAACTGAACATTCACGAGATAGTAACCAAAACCGCTACACGAAGGTGCGCGGTTAATGGTTGTTCGAACTACGCGAATAATCCAACCGAAAGATACATTCGAACTATCACACGGGACAGAAAGATACACATGGTACGTGCTATAGTCTTTTCGCGCAAAACGCTAACCTTACATCTTCATGCTCCACTTTCGTCACCTGTGAAATTATGATCAATAAATTAAGAACGTAATATAATAACCCAAAATTTAGTGAAGGAATTGATTCAGTGCACCAAGAAGATGTGACTTAAACATATATTGGAAAAAATGGTGAAACTTTCAAATCTGTCAGACAACAAATGCTACTCGAATCTGTTGACTAAACTGATAATCCAGTAGGAGAGAGCGCATAGATGGCATGCCAGCACATTAATCCCGTGACCACCAAAAAGCTAATCCAGCTGTTTCACGAGCAATCGAGTGATCTCATTGGTCTTGGCATTATAGATAGCGAAAATAAATTTGTGACCACAAGTGATACCCAATAAAAAAAATTGGAAAAACTGCGCAAGATCATAGGGGAATTTTGCGGTGTACGGAGCAAATGAAGCGTAAACTGAAAAGCTAGAAAGCACAATACAGTTGTATCGACCTGATTCAGTCTCATCCGCGGTGAGTGAATCCATCAACCCAACTGCGAATAGAACTCGGAATCTCATGGGCAGAATGAAAGCGCTATACCCATTCAGCCAAATCTTCTTTATTTTCCATTTACGCGATACAGCACAACCCATCTTTGCGAGCTTGTTGCGGGCCACAGAACCTGCCTCCCTCAGTAATATCCTCTGTTGAACACTTAGAACCTAAATAATTCCTCGCTTTTCAGTTCAGGCTTAATTTGCTCTACACACGACAAAATTTCCCCGTGAGAGTGAATCAAATCCTCCCTTACTCACATACAAATGCGCTAAACTCGATAGGTTACTTTTTGTTTTGCATACGTCCAATCCCAATTTTTCAAGCGGCCATGAACACTAAATAAAAATCTGATACTATAAACTGGGCAAATGATTCAATGATCAAAAAAATGATCAGTGTACCGTTCCAACTGCACCACAACACCTCGACATAAACCCCGTTTCACTGATGACCGGTCACGTTCCTTTTATCGACTATTCACCGCGCCGTAGTTTTCAATCAGATAAAAGAAAGTAAAAGATGATAATTTAGGTGTTTTTCGCCCACTTGTACATTTTCCATAAATTGTAAATTAGTTCTCATTTTTCTTAAATTACTATTTATCAACGGGGAAATCAGCTCGCATTGGAATAAATCAACTCACGTAAAAGTCGATGTTTGCAATCCGCCACTAAATTGTAATCGTAGGCGGAAAAAGTGCACCGATAATGGAAATAACCGGTAGACGAGGTGCCAACTTTTTCAAAGCTGTTTCCTATGATCCGATAATTGTCCCCTGCGATATATTCTATTGTGTAATAATAGTTCGGCACATTGGCTCGTAATATTTGATTGCGGAAGTGACACGAGACGTTCCCGGACCATTTTTCATGTATTCCACCAATATTGTCCGGAAGCATCCCATAATCATATACCAATTGTTCTGATTCTATCATTTCAGAACGAAGAAAAAATAAATTTGAGGTAACACCAAAATGTTTATCAAAACATCGGAGAGAGATTTAAAAAATCATGTTTTCTTGCCTGTTGTGAAAACGTATTCTTGCTCGAGTTGACTCAAAGCTATATCATGGAATGGATCGCTCAGTACCAGACAGTCGAATAGTAAAATAATTTTCCTCAACATATGCATATGCTACTCTTGATCTTACCATATAAAAGATCAAGTTTGGTGATCGTGTTTATACAAGTGACTCTAACGGGATTTAGATACAGCCACACTGCATTTGAACATACATGTACAGTAGAAGATAGCGCCCAAGTCAGACGATCAATCCCCCATTTGATCCAGGTACTACATCCAGTATAAATGAAAAGCTATTACAAATTTGTGGTATCCAACTTTCACATGACGTGATAAAATCAAGAAATTAACGACTAAAAGGTGAAGAATGTATGAACTGGAAGGCTGGAAAACTCCCTTGCCGGATCTGCCTCAACAGTAGTGTGAATTCAACAACACAACCGATCTTAGATGTCCGGAAAGAGCTTGTAAAGACGGACTGTGTTATACCCTTGTGATTCAAAAATGTTCGTAGCGCTCAGTGAGGTTTGATTAACTGCATTTCCGCTGTTCGATGATGATGATGATGATGATGATGATGATGATGATGATGATGATTATGATGGCGACGATGACTTGGATAATGCTAATTCGGATGAGGATGACGATGGTAATGATGATGATGCTGG